TGGAATGGCTACCTCGACATGAGGAAACTCAACCGTAAGAGCGAATGGTATTTTCTTGGGAGCACCTGCAGATTGGATTCCTTCGTCAGATCCTTTGGTAGAGCCTTTCACAGAAGCCCTAGAAGGAGTTGTTGGATGATATCTAAGGTCACTGCTGGTTGTTGGAATAATTTGCTGCACCATGGGTTATCCTCTGACATCAGTGGTAACCTAAGAAGAGAAAAGTCAAAGAATTAGAGGGATAAATGGTGAAGAAAATTACGACTTTCTAGGTTAAGTATTCACCTTAGGATCATCAGCCCCAGGAATAGAGATGTCACTCTTAGTTTGCGCTATATTGCAAGCAGTGGAAGCTTTCATCGAGAGCTTGTCAGCCTTTATTTTTGGTTGATTGAAGGCTTCAGTTATTTTGGCCTATTTTCTCCTCCTTTTAAGGGTCAGTTCTTCAGGAAGAGATTGATCTTCCTCATACAATTCAATTATGATTTGGCTGGAAGCTCATTTCAATTTCTATTTTTTTGGAGTGGGGGGGGGGGGGTGGTCTTCAAGAGCTCTGAGGAGAAAAGAGTTGAAGTATTAGACAATATGAGATTATGCAGTAAAGAAGAAATAAGTAAGAAAGTTTACCTCAGTAACTTGGCTGCTTTCTTCTGTCTTTTCTTGGTTATGCTTCTTCTTCTTGGGTGCAACTTTGATAATTGAAATTTAAACAAGACATTGCAAGTAAGATGATAAAAATAAGATAAATCTAGTTTGAAAACCTCCAATTCCACACCTTCATATATTTTGGACTCGATGCGAACATCTTCGATACCGATATGCAGAGGCCCTTTGAAACTGTCTAAAGTATGCTTAGTCGCAACCACCCCTGAGCCTTTGGTTTCGACTGTTAATGAAGGATTTTTATAGAATCCCCACAGATAAACCAGTCTAGAAATGGAGGGGCAAGAGCCACTCCAAAGTCAGCAGTTGGCAGTCGAGGAAATTTGAGAGGGAACTTGTTGAAAGCCACTATGTATCATTCCTTAGGAGGAACGAACAAAGGGAGTTGTAAGCTCTCCATTTTCTTTAGAAACTTTTCTTTAGTGTAATAGCTGCCTCGCGGACAGTTCGACTAAGATCATTTGGTCGATATACAGTTTCAAAGTACTTCTGGAATGCTTGGGTTCTTTGATGTGTGTCGAAATACCTTTCTTAGTCTTCTTCTGCATAGTGAGGAAATCTTGGTTAGTAAGTTGAGTAAAGGAAGGAGCATTGAAGAACTCCTCTACATAATATGTTGACCACTCAGTTTTTGAATTCTGAGGTGTAAAAGAAACACGGTTCAAAACTAGTGGCGATGAGTTGAGCCTTATTAGTGTATTGGGCAAGCTATATCGAAGCTACCTCTTCAGTATACTTCACATGATGAAGCAGAAGGGCGCCTTTCTTTTCGAAGAGACACTTGAGAAGAGATTGGACCAACCTAAACTGTCGAGCAACTAAGTTTGGTTGGTAAGCAATCAGAGCCACTTGAGACTTCGACATATTCAGTCGAAGGGTTTGCAAGCTTGGAATTAGAAAAGCCTCCCAGATTTGTAAAGACTCTACTTCTTGAGCCTTGGTTGAGGGATGGAAAGGGTCTTGTAAACCACTCAAGACCATACTTCCTTGCAGCAAATCAAGCCATGTTCGACGTGAACTCATGACGTTTGGCAAACATCATGACATAACTTAAGAATGTTGGCCTGAGGGATTGTCCTTATTCGCTAGGAGTGAGCTAGACCAAGTGAGTCCCTTCGACTCTTCTGTTTTTGATGTCTTCAGCAGTTTCATTTATTGGATTTTTATTGGGGAGACTGGATTCGAGTGATGCATTTAGCCAGAGTTGTAACATCAAAAAGGGACCAGACAACAAAAGGTTCCCTTTTTCTCCCAAATCTTTGAGTTGGGCCACTTCTTCACTTAGAGATTCGTATAGATTCCCTAAGATCATTCTGCTTATACAAATGTCATGGCCTTTGTGAAGTTGAGTGGCCAGAGTTAGATATCTTCTAGCTACTTGGAGGGATTTTGAGCAGAATACACAATGAGACATCCATACAATCAAAAAATTTACGTGTTCTCTATCGGAAACATCATCAGTTATTTTGTCGAAGTAGTGAGTTATGAAATGAGAATATGTGGCTTTAGCATATGCAAAACCTATGGAGTCATTAGATTCTAGGTCTGGTTCATAGGGGTTTCCAGTGGGTATGAGCCCTGTGATAGTGGCTATGTCGAAGAGTGTAGGGGTCATCATTCCACAAGAGAGATGGAAGGTGTAATGGGTGTTATCCCAGAAGTACAAAGAAGAAACCAGCATGGTAGAAAGTAATCAAGACCCATTTTCGACAGCATAATCAAGTCGTAAATTCCCAGGTCCTTCCAAGTTTGGGATTTAGCTTTTTCTGTTTTTGCTAGCCAGTTCATGTAATCATCAGATCCTTTGAAGGATGGGGTTGCTCTAAAAACTCTAAAGCTATTGTTCAATACCTTAAATCTATATTATTCAATACTACCGCATCAGAAGAAGTTTTTTCAACCCTAAATTTGTTGGCTTGCCCTATGGGTTTTGATTTGTGGTAAAAGGGGAAAAAGTCCCTAGATTTATTGTGATCAAAACTAAGAGTAGGTAAAGGACTGCGTAATGCATGTCGTTTACCAGAAATAGTAACGGGAATAAGTACCTGAGATTCATATATTTTTCTATTTTCTTCTTCAAGCGGCTCAAGGATGAACTGCTGGTTTCCCATCATCTTTGGTGTTGATAGTGTGTCAAAGGGAAGAAGCTGAGATATCTTGTTCAGGTCTTTAGATTTATGGCCTTTTTTGGAGTCTTTGATATTGGTGATTGAATACGCCATTGTTGAGGTTTGAAGAAAATCTGGATATTTTTTGAAGGTTTGGAAAGTTAAGAGAGAGAAAAAATGCTTGAAGATTTTAGGGAAGTGTAAAAGTTAAAATGGCTAAGTTTGGAGCAATTTATAAGCTCGTGGAAATTCAAGGGACTTCAAATCAGAATCAAAGAGCTGATGGTTAATGGGACACATGTTTCACTAGGGCCGTTTGATGGAACGTGGGCAGTTAATGCCAAGTGTACGATTTCCTAAGGTCTAGAAAACGTGACGATGGCTAGAGATTGTGGCGTGCTTTGATGAGATGTTTCAGAAACCGCTATGATGATCATGACGTCATGGGTTTTTTAGAATAGTAAAAATAGACATCAAAAGCATGCAAAAGTCGTTCGAGGCGTCGAATGACATTATCAAAAAAATGCCTTTTTCTCCAGTGATGTCGAAAATGATATTTTTTAGGGGAAATTTGTTGGCTCTAAATTTCGATGCCTGAATTGGTTTAGAAGAGAGTAATAGAGTTTATGAAGAAATCTAAATATTTCGACCAGAACCATATTTTTGGAATGTGAGTCGAAGGTGTTCCTTTGCCAGGAGGAACTACTTTATAGACTTAGAAATATTTCTTAGCAATTGGAAGATGTGATTTGACAGGGGCACTACTGAAGGCATTTCGACAGGAAGATTTGAATTTAAATAAAGGAGGAAAAACTTCGTCCTTATCGATTTCTCAAAGAAGACACGTGGAGTGCTTTTAGGAATCGAAGACATGTAGAACGCCACTTGTCTCGATTTAATTTGCTATTCGTTGATGGCAGTTATTTTTTATTACTATAAATAGCAAGTCTTGATGTTAGAATTTGTGTATGTTCAATTGCGTACAAGTTCTTCAATATACTTTAAGTACCCGCGTGTAGAGAAACGAGTTGTGAGAATGTAAGTTGATGTAACACCATTTTTACATTTCAATGCAATTCAATAAGTCTTTTTCATTAGGAATTTATCCTTTCTTTATGCAAGTTACTTTCTATATTTTTTACCAGTCTTTCGACTTTAATCCTACACGTTCACTTCCATTTACATTCGGAATAAGTTATTTTATCATGAACTCTGTCGAAGTGTTCATCGTCTTTTTAAACTTTGTTTAAGATCAATTAACACATGTCCTAGGATTTGTGTGGTCGATCCTGCAAGTAAAACAAATCTTTTTCGATTTGGAAGTCCAGCGGTTGTTCACCAATTTTCACGGCGAACAGTACTATGAATAGAAAAGTTTGGTATTGCAATTGAAAAGTTTGGTGTACATTTTTACCGATTTTTTTAAAAATGAATCTAATATTTCTGGAGTTTTTGATAAATCCAATATGTTTTATAATTTTTTGGTTTTTTTTTTAAAAATCTGATAGTTCATTTTTGATAGGCAAAAAAAAAAAACTAAAACTAACACTATCAAATTTTTCTAAAAATCTAGTACATCCGTACAATATCAAAATTTTCGAAAAATCCACTAAAACTCATAGATTTTTAAAAAATCTGAAAAAAATTCAGTTTTTTTTTTAAAATTCCGATAAAAAGTCATAGATTTTTTGAAAAATTTCGGTAAAAACTCAATTTTTTTAAAAAAGTCAGATAAAAACAAATGATTTTTGAAAAATGCGATAAAAACTCATATTTTTGAAATTTTAGATAGTGTAAAAATTCATATTTTGTTTGAAAATCCGATAAAATTTTACGAAATTCTCAAAAATATCCAGTAAAAATTCATAAAATTCCTCAAAAATCGGATAAAACTCATAAAATCTTTCAAAAAAAAATCCGATAAGAATTAAAAAAAAAATTCAAGACACAATATTTTTTAAAAATATAAAAATTTTACAAAGGACATTTCGGTAAAAACACGAGAATCATGTGGTGCGAGGTCAAATTTGGGGAGGCTGAGTAAAATCTATTGCATTTAATGTCTACAACCCATAACATGATAATGGGCGAGTCCATATCCATACATATTCGGGTTAGTTAGTGGGACCAAGCCCTTTTCCAGTCCAACAACAACCCGGAAATAACCGTTTCTAATCGGGATTTGAGTTTCTGTCACCAGAACCGATCAACGAAACGAGAAAGGAAAAGATGAAGAAAGAAGAAACAGTGAAACTGATCAGTTCCGATGGTTTCGAATTCGTGATTGACAAAGAAGCTGCCATGGTTTCTCAGACCATTCGCAACATGCTTACTTCTCCAGGTTTTCTCTCCTTCGATCACTTTACCTTTTTTGCAGTTTTTCGATTACTGCGATTAGGGTTCCAATTTCCAAATTCGCGGTTTTTTACGTAGGATTAAGATTGTTAAAGCTTTATTTTCTTTTTTGATAGGGAGTTTCGCTGAAAGCCAACACGGAGAAGTGACTTTTCCTGAGATCAGTACCACTATTCTTGAGAAGATTTGTCAGTATTTCTATTGGCATCTTGAATTCGCCAGGTATTTGATTTAAGGTCTTTTATCATCTTCAATTTTGATTAAAGGTCTTTTAATTTTCATTTTGGAATTGGATTTTGTTGTTGTTAAGTGCTTTTGGATTTATTGTATCTATGTGTTGTTTACATTACTTAAAATAAATTGTTGAAATGTTTATGTTTATCATCTGCGCGGAGAAGGCAAATTAATAATCCTTCCAATTTATTTCTGATTTGTACGAATCATTGATGTGATCCTTGAAGGTTTTATTTCTTTCTTCTCGGTGTGAGTATTAAATGTAGGATGTGTTTGAAGGGATTCTAATTTGCTTACATATTGGTTCTAGAAAGTTGAAATTGATGTTTTAGTATTAGGATATTAACTACAAGACGAGACCTTTTTATAGTTTACTTGCTTGTTAAGTGTTTTGATTTCGGTTATTAATCATTAGTTTTTGTGAAATTTAGTTTCTACATTGAAGGGATATAGTATAATGTGATATGTAATGTGTAGCGTGTCTAGGAATTTTCTATAATTCAAGCTAAAGTTCAATTTTAAACCTGCAATTTGGAAGTTTGATACAACTCTAAATGACTAAATCTTGCATTCCTACTTCCTATATTTATGTTTTATCAGTTCCTAAATGTATATCACGTACTTAATAGATCTTTTGTTTACCTTGGGTTTACTTGTGTAATTAACAAATATTGGATAGTTTTGTTATTTTTGACCGAGAATATATATCACAAAAGGGAAGTTTAGTGGAAGATGATAGAATTGCAATTGGAGAAAATTTTTAAATTTATGCTCATCCTATTGGCCACACTCGCGTGTTTCTTGTCTGTAGAATGAGGACGTTTGGTTGTTTTGAGCACTAAAACAACTCCAGTTTAAATATGAATCAAGACTTGGTTGGAAATCTCAAACAGTAGTCCAGAAAAATTAAGAGAATAATCACACGAAACAAAAATGTGTATATTATGCAATATGAAAGGCAAATGCAGATGGGATTAAGATCCCAATCTACTCATAGAGCAAGGCTCCTCAAAATACACTTTTACCCTCTCTCATCCCTCACCTCACCCCATATGACAGAATTCTCACCCATAACTACCCCCATCTGCCACATCAGTGGTAACTTCCTATTTTCTATTTTCCTCACAGAATCCCCCATACTGTGGATTAGAGAGTATGAGCCCACAGTTGGGATACTAACACAATTTGTGAACTATTAAATAATTATTGCCTCCAACATTTAGGACGAATGATGTTTATTTATTGTTTGAAATTGAAAATTATTTAGTGACCTTTTTTGTTTGGTTACAACTTAGTGACATTTTTATAACAAAGCGACCTTACTATATTTAGTTGGCACTTGACCCACTGGTCTGCATTTTTATTCAGTGTCACATGGTGGTGTGGCAGGAAACATTCACATCATCATTTTATAATTTATCTGGATAATTGCAAGTCTGTTTTAGGTATTGTAATGTTTTTTTTTCTTACAGATAAAGTTAAGCTCTTTGAATCCCTAAATTTTATTTCTGTGTTATTTAAATTGTTGTGATGACATGTTTATGTTGTCTTTGCTAGTGGAAAAGACAGAGAGTTTCCTATTGAGCCAGAATTAACTCTCGAGTTAATGATGGCTGCCAATTACCTACATACTTGAGCATATTCACTTTCCGAAGGTTGGTGTTCTCTTCATTATTGTTGTACGCATTTTTTATTTCTTGGAGTATGACAGTCTATTCTGTATTGTTTAATTTTCACAGTAATTTCTGTGGTTGCAATGTTCCTTTTTCCCCCCTTGTGCAGGTAATGCAGAAGAAACTGTTGCTTTGCTTGGGCTATGTAAAAATATAAGCTACTGTTGTTGTTGTTATAAACTAGAATATACATGTAATGGGAGGGTCAACTCCTCGACTTGTTTCTTTGTAGTCTTTTAATTTTGGGCTTCAACACTTAATATTTGTTAAAAATAATAGGATAGCTAGCTAGATTCAGCTGTTAGACTCACCGGATTGATAATATGATAGTTAGATTCGGCTGTTAGACTGGCCTGATTGATATCATGTCTCGATTTCCTTTAACTCTGTTTCGCCAGTTGGTTTGTCAGTTGGTCATTCTTTGTCTAATTCAAAGTGAAGATTTTCTTTAACAAGTGCTTTAAGCATATTGTTCAAGAAAACTATAAAAGAAAATTGTTTTGCAATTATCAGCCAAATACTTGTTAAAATAATAAATACATATTTCTCTATGCAGATGTTTTCTCGTTTGATTCCGTAAACAAGTTTCAAAGGCAGTTGTAGCATTTTTCATGAGTTATAGCTAATTCATCAAATCTTTATAATGATATCTATATTTTAAAATTAGTGTTATTAGTGTTTCATGTTATTTAAGAAGCCTATGTGGCGGAAATGAATTTCGTTCAATGTTTCTTATATGGGACAATGCATACTCTTACGGTTTTAATTCATAACTGTGTCAAAGATTGTTAAGAAGCCTATGTGGCGGAAATGAATTTCCTTCAACGTTTCTTATATGGAACAATTCACACTTTTACGGTTTGAATGGGAGGTGTTTTTTTTGGAGGGTTCTCGAGTGGAGGACTATGTCTATATGAAGGCTATGTCTATATTTTAATATGTTTGATATTTTAAAAAAATAATTAAAAAAAACCAACATATTATTATTGTTAATCTATTATATTGTTTTCTTTTAATATAAAATACATTCTTTTAAATAATTAAAATGTCTTGCCTTTTGTTTTCTAAAAACACAGTTTTCACTGCACGCCCTATTCACTAGAGAAGGTCCAATCCAATTTCTAATGGGATATATTGTGGGGTTTACTTTTTCAGTTTTAGGAGTTTCCTCTTTTTACACACCCTTTTGCATAAATGGATGAGCTATTTTTATTTTGTCAAAATTTAATTTGAAAATGTATTTTTGTATAACATCAGTATGATATATCTATGTAAATATTATTAATTTAAAATTTAGGGAGATTTCCAGAGATGTATCTCTGGACACATGTTATTCATAAACCCGCTCGAGGTCCTTCTTTTTTTCTCATTCATTTTTTGAAAAGTCATTTAAAATTCTATTTGAGCTCTTTGTTGCAAACCATTTTCAAATTCTATTTAAGCAAATTTCATCACTCCATTCTACTTTATGTGTTGCAAAGTTCCTCACTTCATTCAAACTTCTCATCCATAACTCTAGTTTGACAAATTTCTCATTTCATTCTTTTCTGTATTTTGAATGATGTTTTAGGTAACATAAATGGTTTAAGTTGCATTAGATAGTAGTATAATCAAAATAGGTAGTTGATATAGACATGCATTTTCATTTGGTTGGAAGTTAGGGCAGAAATGTATTTCCGCCATGGCTGAAAATAACATTTCATTTGGAGATGCATTTCTGGATTATGTCTGAATTGTTTTCGGAGATGTATCTCAAGATTTCTGCCTTGCTGCATTTTGGTTGAATTTTTGATGTGACTATCTATTTTTATTACAGGTACAATGGTTGAAAATAATCTGGACATAATTAGGCTCGATTGTGTGTCTGAACACGCGTCTATACGACGTGAGAGCTCCAAGAGCGGGTGTAACACCCCAAATTCAATTAATTTATTTAATTGAATTTAGTTGCATTTTATATAAATTATTAAGTGAATTATATGTTTTTGATTGATTTTTGATGAATATGTGTGTAATATGGCATGTGGTTGGGTTGGTGAGAGGTAAAATTAGTTAGATTTTTAATTAATTTTATAAGGAGAATAATTGAAATAATATAGAGATTAATTACTATACACTAATATTGTAAACAAATTTACACTGTCAATTCATCACCGTCATCCGTTTGCATTACTTTATAAGTTGTTAAAATAAAAGTCAAACTTATTCCATCATCCAACGTCTATAATTATCTGACAGTGTAAAATTCTTTTACACTGTCAGTGCATTTCAATTAAATCCAATAATATAAGTATTAGAAAAATAAGGAAAACTTCTTTTTGCCCTTTGGGGCCTTTAATCTTGGAAAATCATTTTCATAAGGAGAGTTTTGTTAACTCTTGGTTCTATCGCAAATGGTAACGCCTAAGCCTCCAATGGTCGAGCTGCATACACCAAACTGTTAGAACTGATTGTTAACCTTACTCGGGTAAAACAGTTGAACAAGCACGTGTTTCCTTTTAGCCCGAACTACGTTTGCTCTGATCTTTCATACCAGATGAAAGTACGTATGCACAAGACACGATGTCTTGGCGAGCAACCTTCCCCCTTTCACCCGTAGTTAGTCGAACTACGTTGACTATGACTTCTCACCTCAGATGAGATACGTAGGCACAAAGCGTCGTTGCTTTGCCGAGTCACTTCTTTTTCTTTTGTCCTCAAGCTTGTAGTTAGATAGTTTCAATCACCCTTTTAGATAGACAACAAGCGTGGATCCCGTCGAGTACGACGGACGTGAGGGGTGCTAACACCTTCCCCTTGCGTAACCGACTCCCGAACCCGAGATTTGGTTGCGATGACCGATCTTATCCCTCTTTTCATTAGGTTTTCTCTGAGCATTTCCTTTCCCTCTCTTGGGATAAATAACGCACGGTGGCGACTCTTCTATCATTGTCGGCCTCAATTTTCGCAGTAGCGACATCTACACGGGGAAATCAACAAAGAGCTATGAACCAGATTCAGAACGAGCTTCAGGAGTTCCGCGATCGTATGACCCAGTTTATGGACATGATGCAAGGGGTCGCCAATGGCCAAGAGCAATTGAGGACGCTGGTCCAGCCTCTGGTAGCAAGGGTTGACGGAAACGGAGTTCTGCACGGTGGGACTGCTGCTATCCCTCCTACGACAGACGATGGCATTCCTCATGCAACTGCCATTCCAACAACTGTTATTCCTCTAGGCGGAGGTAACCAGACCGGAATTCACATCCCAGGTGCGGCGGGCGCTGTACCCGGTAACAATGGTCCCTAGTGGGAACAAGAAGAGCAGGATGACGTCTTCTCCATGGGAGACCTTGGGGTAGGATTACAATCTGATGCGGATAGAAGATTCAAGGCAGTAGAAGAAAAGATGAAGAACCTTGAGAACCAGAACTCTATGGGTCTTGACATGTCGAATCTAGGACTGATTCTAGGACTGAGGATTCCTCCGAAATTTAAAGTTCCCGATTTCAAAAAGTATAAGGGGACGACATATCCAAGGGTGCGCCTTCGCTCTTATTACAAAAAAATGTCAGCTTACTCCGATGATGAGAAGTTACTTATGCATTTTTTCTAAGATAGTCTGTCAGGGTCATCCCTAAAGTGGTACATGGGCTTAGAGCCAATTAACATCAGGAGTTGAAGGGATTTAGCAGAGGCTTTTGTCAAACACTACCAGTATAACAGTGACTTGTCGCCAAACCGAGTACAACTGTAGAACTTATCTCAAAGGAGTAATGAATGTTTTAAGGAGTACGCCCAGAGATGGCGTGAACTTGCCGCAAGGGTTCAACCTCCCATGGTGGAGAGAGAACTTATTGACTTGTTTGTGGCTACGTTGCCCGAAGTTTACTACGAGAAGTTAGTAGGAAACATGTCTGGTAGTTTTTCGGATTTGATCATTACCGGCGAAAGGGTCGAAAATAGGATTAAGTTGGAGGTGGTAGAAAGAACTTTGGTACCAAGAAAAGGGAGAATGAGACAAATGCAGTGTCCAGTTTTAAAAATCAGAATAGGAATCAGAATCAGCGTCAACAACAACCATACTATCAACAACAACCACAAGTGGTTAGTATTGCCATCCCGATAGTACCACGTCAGCAACAACAACAAAACTACGCGCCGAGACAGTTTCAGGATCGCAAAAGGACTGTGAATAGGCACTTTGATGCACCACCAATGCTTTACACCCAATTATTACAGCATCTGATGCAATTACAGTTGGTCCAAAAAAGGACGTTAGCACCTTTGACAGACCCACCACCACCAGGATATGATGTTAATGCTCGGTGTAACTTTCACTCTGGCACTCCTGGCCATCACATCGACAACTGCAAGGCCTTCAAGCATAAGGTACAAGACCTTATCGACAGCAAGGCTATCAACTTTACTCATGATGTGCCCAATGTTGTCCAGAATCCCATGCCTAATCATGGAGGGGCTGGTGTAAATGTTATTGTCAGCGAGGAAGGCTTGAATTTGGTGTCTGACGTGAAAGATCTGAAAACTCAGTTGAGCTTTGTGAAGCGCAAGTTGTTGAAAGGTGGAGTGTTCCCCGGTTGTGGAAGAGACTGTGAAGATTGTGTAGTTTATCCTGAAGGATGTAAAAATATGAAAAGTCATGTACAACGTATGATGGATGAAGGTATTCTGCAGTTTGATAGGATAGATAAAAAGAATGACGAAAGGGTAATCAATGAAGAGAAGAATGAGGTGGCCACCGTTTCCATTCCTTATAAAACAATTAATATTTCTGCGCCTCCAAGGCAACCCACTATCATAATTACAAAGGCGGGACCTGTACCCCCTACGAGAGTTCCAAGGCGATCCCTTTGAACTATGGGGCCGTGGTTTACTGTAATGGATAGAAGCAGGAACTAAAGAGTTCGCCTTTGGATTCGATTGGCAATCTAGTAGGAGCTGGAGGGATGACCCGGAGTGGAAGA